TCATTATCATTATCATTATCATCATTATCATTATCATTATCATTATCATTATCATTATCATTCCCCCCATCCCTTTATCCTCTCTGCCTTGTTACCGAGGCAGTGCTCCTCAGGAGACTGAATCCTGCTCCAGGAGGCAGCAGCACAACCGGTCGGGTGGGGGCATAAAATAGGTATGTCCTCTATTGTGCCCCAGTCCCCTCTGGAGACCCCAGGGTTGAGGGTGCAGTACCCCTGTCTTGGAGCAGAGAAACTAGGGCTCCAGGCCCCTTCTGTCACTCAGGTGCTACGACCTTGCTAGAGGTTCCTGACTTTGCTTAAAGACAGGAACTCCCTGACAGTGCTTCTGAGGTATGGCCTATTTGGAAGCCATAAAAGCTGTGCCTTTTTCTCATTTTTCACTTTCTCGATTCCAGAGTTGATACCCTTCCTTCTTTACTCAGGCTCTCTGTGCTTTCGACTTTCACTGACACTTAAACAACAACAACAGACACCAGTGTTGTTTCTAGCTAGTCATAATTCTGTATGGTGACTGTTTTCCTGCTTTCCCCTCCTGCTACCTCACTCCTGTTTATGTCAGAAATCCCAGGAGTCACACAGTACAGGGCCAATAAAGTTACAGACTTAGGTCTTACTTTCTATTTTCCAGTAGGCATGGTGGCAGATAACGGAGCTTGCTGCAGTTGGTGAGAAGTAACTAAGAAACTTGACTTGGAAGGAAAATCCTTCCTCTTCATTTCCTAACCAGAACAAGTGAAAAGAGGGCGGGAAAGTGTGGAGGGTCTCCTTTCTTTCAACTTTACTTTTCTGAACCCTGAGAAGTGGAGCTGCTATCTAACAGGGGCTGGCAATAAAGTACATGAGCCTGCTTCTCCATCTCTGGAGAGTACTGAAATGGACTGATAGCTCAGTTGACACAGGGTCCTTCTGGCCCTTCAGCTAAAGAAAATAATTTGCAATAAGAGTCTTTTGCTGTTCATAATGCAACAGTGTTAACATATCTACCCTCCCTTGAAAAATTCTTTCCTTAGAAAGAGCTTGCCTTTTGTTTATATCTGTGCTATGAAGCTGAGTAAGGTGCTCTCTATTACACCAACTTTTTATGAGGACAGAAAACAGTAAGTTTTGAACTCATGCACTCAGGCAAGCTCCCAAATGAACAAGGAAAAGTCTGTCTCTTTTGCTTTGTGGAGTTTCGAAAATGGTGGATATATTAAAAAGTGAGCCCAATACATTCGGAGAAAATAAGAGGACATGAACAAATCGGGCAAGGCTTGTGCTGGCTTGTGGGTAACTACTGACTAAAGTCTAGCTGTTCGCAGTATTAAACTAAAGTGGAAGTGTTAGCCGTGCTATATAGTGTGTTTCAGGGTTCTAACAGTGTGCCAAACTAATGGACTCGTATTTTAGTTAATGCAATAGTGCTTTATGCTAGCTGGTATACTAGCTGTTCAGCAGGCATACAATTATGTTTTTTTAAAGCCACTATCAGTGAAGAAATGTCTTGAATCCTAAGTTTAATAGTTTTTTAAAGTTTAATGCTAATTGAGTGGAAGCTGTACCTGTGTTGAGTGATGGTCATTTGAAACATTTCCTGGCTTGACAGTGGAAATATTTTATATTTCAAGTATTCATCCCAGTCCCTGTTCGTAAGCTTTTCCTTCTTGTTTGGATAATGAGTCACTCCTCCAAAACATGCTATCATACATCTTTGTAAACATACCTAGGATCAAATAAACATACATCACACTGGTCTCAGGTATACTAACATCTCCTATATAAGAATTTTTTTGTATATATATGTTAGTCTGTTATTAGGAAAGAAAGAAGCCTGATTCTTTTAGAATCCTTCTTATTTTCTCCTACAAGTGTTGAAGTCATGGGCTACTCTATATCAGGAGTTGGATAAGGATATCTGAAAAACACATTGATTATAATACACTGAAGGGGTTTTCTCTACATAGTATTGATGAGACTCTGGGACACATGCACAAGGATGGGATGCCAAAAATGTTTAGAAGTATAAAACTTCTGATTGAGATCTGTTAATGGAATTGCACTTGATAAAAACAGTTGTGTGGCTTTGACCCTAGCAAGAACGAGAGAAAGGATAGCACCTGCAAATGTGAATTTATTTATTTATTAAATTTATACCCCACCCCTCTAGACCATGTCTACTTGTACATCTGATGATGTGATTAAAGATTAAACAAAGATACCATAATAGCAAGCATTAATTTTTCTTTACCACCCAATTTTTTTTGATAACTTCTAATACAAGCACTCTTCCTGAACTCTGCAAGATTGGGAACTCAGAAACTTTTATTTGTTTTGTAGCTCGTGCTGCTTGGAAGTGTGCAAAAGTGCACCGTCTTAGGCTCATGAAAAAATGCACTTTGTGCTACTGAAGATACAAGCCTGTAGCTATACCATGAATTCTGTGGTGTTTCTGGTTGAGAGATGGTACGTCTCTGAGGTTGAGAGGCAAAAAGGGTCAGTTTCTCCACATAGTGTTGTCAAGACATGCAGGGTGCAATTGGTCTAATTGTTCATCCAGCCTCTGTTTATTTTTCAAATTCATCCTGCCTGTAGACTATATAAGTAGAGCCAGTGTGATCTTGGATAGAGGAGACCTGGGTTCAGATTCCTGGTCATGAAAACTTACTGGCAGGGTGGCAGCAGTAAATCATTCCTTGCACAGATTATGTACATTGAAAAATCCTACTTTTTTTCTTGCCATAAGTGGAAAACAACTTGATGGCACGTAACAGCAATATAAGACTGTAGAAATGTACAGTATCTACTTGAGTGTTGTTGATGAAAAAAACCCTACTTGGTGTCCTGTTTGGGTTTCTTAGATACAGTTTCTAAGTTTGCTGTTCTAGTTGGTGCAAATAATAAAAGATCAATCTATCTCTTCAGGCTATAATCAGTTTTGTTTTGCATAGAAAACATAGAATGAGACTTTATCTTGTAGTTTTGAAACAATTCTGTTTCAAATTTTGAAACAGCTCATTTTAACATAGATATCATAAATTTCATTCAAGGGGAGAAATAGGAGGACCTCTATAACTGTTGTGCATGTTGCTATTGTTATTACAGAAGGGAGTCAGATGCCTCAAGTCCGTTCCCATCTTTAGTTGATGCTCTAAGTTTTGCGTGTGAATTGAAACTCCTTAACAATATCATGTGAGGTCATTAGTACATGTCTGCTGCTTCTCACACTGTTTCACTAGCAGTTTCATTGAGTAACTAATCCTAATAGAAGTTCTTGATCACTCTAGTGCTAAAATCTAAAGAGCGAAGAAAAATAAAGTGAGCTTTAAATACTGCACTTTAAGTTGCAAAAGAAGTAGTAAGCATTAATGTATGGTGTTATGCCCTTCAAAAGTATGAGGAAGCAGCTGTTGGATTATCATTACAGACTTGACTGGTGACAAATGGAGAATTGATGAAGCCTTTAGGTGGAATGGAACAGATTTGTCTCTGACTTTGACCATCTCTTCCCATATTCATCAGTATACATCTTGTTGTTGTGTTGTTTAGTGTTAAACCAAGCTCAAAACAGGTTGCAGCATCAGAAAAGTACATGTCATACACTACAGCATCTCAAGAAGATTCACTAATGATTACGAAACAGCAGAATTTAAACAATGCCACACATACATACTACATTTAAACAATATAATAATAATTCATAGTAGGGTCATATAACAGAAACATAAAAATCCAATTCCTAAAATAAGTATACCCAAATATAGTAAACAAAATGAGTACTAAATATTGCCTTCAGCAACACCCCTTAAGCATTTTGAAATCCGAGTACGAATCAAGAAAATTAAGTTTGCCAAAACCATTTGTCTTGTGAGTTTTTTGTCCTGTGAGGCATTTGTCTTGCGAGGCACAACTGTATTTGTTAATGCAAAATTTGTAATGATTTGCAATTCTTATAACATGCTTAAAATCACATGCTTAAAACCTTGTTCATGTTCCAAGAATATTTTATGTATCGTATCTGTTAATAAAAACAGATATGTGTTAGTAATGTGTGCTAGTAATGACATCCTGTAATATGACCACTTGCTTCAAGGGAAATTGTTTAACAGTATTGTTACTAGTGTATACTAACATATGGTTTTAAAAACAGAACGTTTGTTGAAGATGACGTTGGAGGAGAGACGAAAAGAATACTTACGGGATTATGTTCCTCTGAAAGATATCCCAACATGGATGGAGGAAATGAAAAGCAAGACTCAAAGTGATGGTAAGTTTTAGTTTTAAAAATGTATAAATACACATATGCTTTAGGAGCTGAGTTTTATGTATGTGTACAAGAATTGTTATGAACTTTACAACTCTAACTTCCCTTTCCATGGTAGATTAGAGTGTTTTCTGTGCTGTGGGCACGTGAATTGGGGAAAGGTCCCAGTTTTTGTCAGAATTTGTAGCAGACTGCTGCTTTGTAGTTCTTTTAACATAGACACATTTTATTGGAGAATAGATTTAAAAAACTACTTTTTTGTTTTATGCCTAGAACACTATAATATTCTCTATATAATTATTGGTTTTCTGTTCAGTATTGTTGCAGTGATCTGATGAAGTCAGGCATGCAATGAGGCACAAGTGGCACCTCATCAGGTTGCTGCAACCACTTGTGAAGTTATTTATTACTTTATTTATAATATTTTACTCCCCCTTTCTCCTAAAAGAAGGAACCAAAGTGGCTTACATCCTTAAAAACACAATATTAAAAGCTAAAAACTGTAAATTATTCAAATATTTAAAAAATTAATACAATAATATTTAAAATGTTAGGTAAGAGCATTATAAAAATAGAAACAACAAAATATCAACCATCCCATGTACTATCCCTAGATAGTCAGTCTCTAAGGGAAAGCCTGCCTGAAGAGAAAAGTCTTTGGTTGCTTGTACAAGGACAGCAAAGATGGGGACAGCCTAGTTTCCTGTGAGAGGGAGTTCCAGAACCTGGGAGCAGCAAAAGAGAAGGCCCTTTCCCATTTTGCCACCAAACACAGCTGTGAGGGTAGGAGGGACTGTGAGAAAAGCCTCCCCTGATGATCTTAACATCTGGGCAGGCTGAAAAAGAGAGACATGGTCCTTGAGATAGTTTGGATCCAAGTTGTTAGCACTCATGTGCATGAATATTAAATAGAGTAGTGGTAAGTGTGCAAGTAGTACATGCTGCTAGTTTCCACTGAGGTCAGTGAGACATCTAGATCCAGGCTAATTTCTGACTGTGACATATGTTGGTGAACAGATGTGAGTAATTGGTACACTAAGCACGGAGTGGCATATACAAGTGTATACACGATTGTGCATATATGCTTATATTTTTCTCACACATTTTTGTGTACAAAGACTTTGATACAGTGGTGCCTCGCAAGACAAATTTAATTCATTCCGCGGTTAATGTTGTCTTGCGAAAAAGTCATCTTGCGAAACACGTTTTCCCATAGGAATGCATTGAAATCTAATTAATGTGTTCCTATGGGCAAAAAAAGTCGGAACAAAGTCAAATTGGGTTTACAAAGGGTTTATTAAGTGCTCTTTAAAGCCATACATATTGTGCAGATGATTTCAAAAATTTCACTCAAAAAACTTTAACTTTTTAAACATCATAGAAAAACATTTAAAAATCAGCAAACATGAGACAGGAACAAAAAACAGAAAACATTTGTCTTGCGAAGCACAGCCATAGGAACATTTGTCTTGCGAGTCATCAACCCCATTGCCAAAACCATTTGTCTTGCGAGTTTTTTTGTTTTGCGAGGCATTTGTCCTGCGAGGCACGACTGTATTTGTTAATGCAACTTTTGTAATGATTTGAAATTCTTATACATGTTATCTCTTAAGCTTACTTTAGCTGTTAAGTTAATCTAGTCTGTGTTTGCTCATGCAGTAGGATTTTTCCTTTTCATTCCCTCCTAGTGCCATTGCAGATTTCTTGTCTGGAGAGTCCCTCAAACTCCAAAGCAGGAATGTGTTGTGCTAGTGAATGCAGGTGGATATAATTAAGTTTCATCTGTTGAATGCTATCCTTTTTCTGAAGGATTAGCAGAAATGAAATATTTAAAGGATAATTATAGTGACTGCAAAATGTATACGTACATTTTATCAGCTTACATGAAGGACCATTATTATTCTGATGATTAATACTGTATTTTGTCATAAAATCTTATTCACTAGATTTTTAATTATTAGTATGTGAATTAAAGTAAAACTTCACTGATGACTATACTGCTTTCCAATCCCTAAGCTATTTTGGTTGAGACTTCATTTGGTCTTACTCCTAGAGGCTCATTTCCATGCAGCTACTTGAGATACACCCAGGGGTTTGAGCACAGAATGTTGGGTTTCTGATTCTGAGCTATAGATTGCCTATCATGGCTCAGACCTTTTTTGCAACTCCCTGAACTTTAAGACATTGATTACTATGAGATACAAGAGAGTTATTCAGTAAAAATAATCTAAAAGCTGCCTTGATATTCCAGAGTTGGTTTTGTAGTTCTTTGAATCCTATTACAGAAAAGCTCTGCAAAAAGCAGTCTTTTTCTTTAAAAAGAAAGACATTGAATGAGCTCCCGAATTAGAAATGTTCAAGTCAAAGGGAGAAAACATAACTGCTGCTAAAACTAGATGATTCATTGCATATTAAGATTCTCTGAGATAGCTCTTCAAGGATGTTTTCATATGAAAATCATTTTAGGTTAGACTGTCCTGTCTGTAAACATTGCTGATACAGAAAACCGATACAAGCAGAGAAATGAAATACTTTAATCTTTTCCTTCTCGTTCATTTTTCTGCCAGTGGTTGGGTGCCATAATATCTATCATGACCTTAGATGTGGCAGATCTAAACAATGGTGCTGTGCTTATCTTCAAACCAGACTTCAAAGTTTATCAGTGATATTTTCCTTGCTTATCTTCTTTCCCCATTTATTTTAATTTGAGTGATCGTTTATGCAATTTATGCTTTAATTTTTTATGTGACCCAAATATCTAGGTTTTTTGCATTTTATGTTTATGATTTCTTGATCTTTATTTATTTCCTCTAGTGCTTCTTCGTTAGTCAGTTTTTTGATCCAAGATATTTTTAGCATCCTGTGACAAATCTGTATTTGAAATGCTTCTAGCCTTTTTATAGCAGATTTACTAAGACCATAATTCCATTCTGTGAGACAACTGAGAATGCATGGGACAATGTACCTTCTCCAAGCTAATTTAATTTTGTTGTTGTTGCATTTTACGTTCTCCATCTTGAAGAAACTGCTTCAGGCCTTCTCTGGTCTGTCTTTTATTATTTTATCCTATGCTCATTTTACTTAATTCCAAAGTAATTGTATTTGTCAACAGGCTCCATGTATTATTTTGGATCTTCAGTTGCATTTTTAGCTGCTTCCTTTTCTTACTAATTGTCATGAACTTGGTTTTCTTAGCACTTACTTTTAGACTGTGTTCATGGGCTCAAATAAACTTTGCCTCTAAATTGTCAGCTAATAATGCTGTATCATGTGTACTCACAATGGCAGTGCTATTTAATTTCAGTTAGAGCTTTTGAATTGAAAAGCAGTGCCAAGAGCATACATCCTTGTCCAGTTTACCTTTGTATCTAATTTAATCACCTAATCTTATCTTCAACTTTAATTGCAGCTTATTGTTGACAGTATAGATTCCTAATGATATTAATATCTCTTGAATCAAAATCTTTGTTTTCAGATAACTTCAGTAAAGGAATTATATATTCAAGTTAATATCATAACATCTCTTACAAAGTGCATGTAGAAAGAATAGCTTTTCCTTGCTTCTAAATCCTTCTCACTTGTTTCCTACCCTTTGTTTGTATTGCTCATAAATTCTGCAAAGTGTTAGTTTTAAGAAAACATAACCAAGGGACTTATTCCTTTTACTATTCTTTTGCCATGACAAACTTGGCATCTTTCTTTTGATCTGATGTAATATTAATGTCATCCAAGTTCCAGAAACGTACTGTTTCCATAGATTAAACCATAAGTGTAATTAAAATGTTTTCAGTTGTAATCTATTATGTTTAACACTTCTACAGAAACATCAGGAACTTTGTAATTTGTCTGAGTTGTATTGCCTATGAAGCTTTAAAACTCTTCCTTATATCTGTGCTGGAGGAGGCAGCGTGTGACTCTGAGGTTTGCTGCAGCTCATTTATCCAACACTTAGCTCTGACAGGTTAAAATGGCACCACCCACCTTGTTGTGGATAAGTGTATGAACTGTATGAAATGTATAGTTCAGTGGTTGAGTTGGTGGAGGAGCCAGAGATTGGAGGTTCAATTCTCCACTGTGCCTCTTTGACAGGGGCTGAACTTGATGATCCATAGGGTCGCTTCCAGCTCTGCACTTATAATATTATTATTATTATTATTTTAAGTAACTTTATTCATAGCTTTAAAAAAGGCACCCTAGATATAGTGCTAGGTTGATGTGCCAGGATAAAGTTTCAGAATGCCTTCATTTTTCCTTTGTATGTGTAAGGAGTGGGTATAGTAGTTATGGGATGTAGCAGGCAATCAGGTCAAGCCCTCTGGTGACTCAAATCCTAGGTCATTATGATATTTGAGGGCAAATCAGGTCCTTTTCTTCTCTTTCAATACTGAAAAGATCAACTGTGCCTAGCATATCTCTTATTGTAGTGGCTAGTTGTGCACCAGTGTTGCCCTTTGCTAAAATATTTGTAATGCCAAATATTTCTTTGTTCTTTTACCTGAACAAAGGTAGGTTGACACTTAAGAAAAGTACAGTAGTTGAATCCATTGCTTATAAATTACAGATGTGGCTGTTAGTGTAGAAGGAGAGTTGTGACATCCTAGTCTCTCTTATTTTGAGCCTGTTGTTATAGGCTGAAGCCAGGTAAAAGAAGAGGAGGTGATAGACAGGTGTGTGCATGTAATTTATATATAAACTGATGGGAGGAATAAACCAGAAGCATCAGGTGAGGACAGGAAGTAATAGAGGAGGTGTGCACCCTAATGGGTTAAGAAAGGAACGCTTCACCTGAGTACTTGTAGGAGTGATACACACTGGGAGGCCCTGGCATATTTGGAAGGGAAACAATTCTTCACATACCACCTTATAAGGTTTTGTTATGTGACTTATGAAATCTTGATTCAGCCTATATTTCTTTCATATTGTGTTTATGGCCGTGGCCAAAATAAGGTTGAGAAAATTTAATACATAGCAGAATTATTCTTCATATTTGAGTTTTTCTTTTT